AAGTGTTTAATATGGAGCCCTGAAACTTATTTTCTTGTTGCTTACAAGGAATGAGAAACTTGACCATTAAAATAATAACCTATTGAAAACAAAGATAGGGACGTACAGCAGGACAGACAAACAGGTACCCTTTCCTGCCCTATTCCACTACTTATTTGTTGAGCTCACTCATTGCATTACATTTTTCACCAGTGCCATCCTGCTGATTGGCAACAGAGGTGGAGGGACAGTAGCATGAGTACTTAAGGATTTTTTTGCCACTATGAATATTTAAAAGTTCTCAATTCTGATACATTAGGGCATCTCAGTGGTGAATTTAGAGAACATAAGACTTACAAAGAAAAGGAACAAAGACAGTAAAACCCAGTTGAGTCATAGAACATACTAGGATGTAAATATAATTTTTTAAAAGTACCAGATTAAAATTATATTGGTTAATCATTTAATCGTTAATCTACCCCTGGCTTGGGGGGAGCACCCACCCTGCCGTCTCTCCTTGGAAGTGGAGTGCAGTGGGCTGGGGGATCGTTTGTGTACGCAAGGCTGGGCGCCGCGTGCCTTGTTCTGATCCTATCCCTCTATCTCCCAGTTACTAAGTGCGCTAGTTTGGCAGATCGCTGCTGGGAAAGCAGTGGTGCCAGGGCAGATCCAGTGGTTCCCTGGCAGACCCACTGCTACAGCCAGCTGCAAGAGAAGCAGAGCTGGGAGGAGGGGGTTGCCGGGCTGCCCCCAGCAGTGCCCTTTCCACCAGGCACGGGCTGCTCCAGCGATGCCCTGAGGTGGAGCTGCAAGCTCCAGCGCCACCATCCCCACCGGTATTGCTGTGGCATTTTTAATGTGCACATTAGGTATTACAATGTCACGAAATTATTTTACCAATCTGTTTTAAATGTTAATTGCAATATATTAACGGTAAGACTAATACTTATCGGTTAGGTATTTAACCATTCACTATTTCACATCCCTAGAACATACTAGGGCATAGGTGCTGACGCCCCGGGGCTGGAGCACCCACAGGGAAAAATTAGCGGGTGCTCTGCACCCACCAGCAGCCAAGCTCTCCCTCCCACCACCGCCCCCAAGCACACCACATCCCCGCTCCTCTCCCTCCCAGCACTTCCTGTCCACCCCACCCCACCCCCCAACTGCCTAATAGCCGTTTGGCGGCACTTAGGACTTTCCGGGAGGAGTGGGAGGAGCAGGAACGAGGTACGCTCAGGGAAGGAGGTGAAGAAGAGGTAGAGCAGGGGTGGAGACTTGGGGGAAGGGGTGGAATGGGGGTGGGGCAAGGGCAGTGCAGGGGCAGGAAGAGGCGGGGAAGATGGGTCCAGCACCCACTGGGCAGAGGGGAAGTCGGCGCCTATGTAGTAGGGTAAATTTTAAGAGTGCTGATGGGGTTAAAAATGCTTCTGTCCCATTAAAGTTAATATACAGAACAGCTAAGTCACTATGTATAGCATTAGAAAAATCTATCTAGCTACCTGAAAGAGGAAGGCGTCAACAGGTGCCACTGGTTCTGTGTTTCTCATTCTAACATTTTCAACCCAAGTATAGAGATCATCATCTGTCCAGCAAACTTAAGGGGTTTTTTTGTTTTGTCTTAAAGTCATGTAAAGGGGAAGATGTCTTTACCTTATGTACACATGTTGCTTTAAAGTACAGTGTCATCTCAAACTATATGCTGAACATATGAAAGGATGTACGTGTAGCAAATATTCAGAATACTAATTACATAATTAATTTGGTTTATAAAGTACTTATACTAGAATATTTTCTTGAAGCTCAGATAATACAGAAATGTCACTAAAAATAGAATTCATTAATACAATAACTATAATCAAGTCTCACGCCTCAGGGTTTCAGCTAGTCGCATGCAGGGTCAGGAAGGAATATTTCCTCTCCCCATGCACAACTGGCCAAGCATACTCTCAGGTTTTTGGCCTTCCTCTGAAGCACCACAGATTGGCCAGAGTGGGAAACATAATACAGGATGGGGTGGATCAGTGCTCTGAGGTGGTACAGAGAATCTTCTCTCTTAGATGTCTGTCTGAAGTGTCTTGCTCAGGGTCAAACTGACCACCAGATTTGGGGTCAAGAAGGAATTTTTTCTTCCGGTCAGATTGACAGAAACCTTGAGGAGTTTTCATCTCTATCTGCAGCATGAGGAGTGGATCACCACATTAATGCATCTGATCTAATCAATTCCCTCCCATTACAGTGGCCTGTTCTCTGTCTTTGGCATACAATTTAGAGCATGCGTCCTAAGCATCTGGGAGTGAGCCTCCCAGATAGGTCCACAGACTCACGCTAGCACTCCAAAAATAGCTGTGCCGATGTTGTTTAATATTGCGGCTTGGGTTAACAAGTTCACAGCCCTGCAGACTTCAGAGCCTGATCCCCTGCCCAAGCCACAACATTTACACAGCTGTTTTTAGCGAGGTGGCACAAGACACGCTAGCACAAGTTTGCAAACCCAGGCTAGAACGCTCATTCCCAGATGCGGTGTAGACATGTCCTAAGTCTTTTGAGAACTGAAATGCTTGGGTCTAACATCATTAGGCTTAACATTGGGATATCTGGATGAAATGTAATGGCTTGTGTTATGTAGATCAGACAATGATTTGAGGGTTCCTTCTGGCCTTGAACTATGAATTCTTAGTGCTACATATACTCCTATTTTAAAATGTTAGTCTTAGACTTTCAAGAAGGTGGCCAGATCTCAAAAAAGTCAGTTTCATGTAAATATTTGCCTGTCAAGATGCAATGTTCATCACTTATGAATTCTACCCACAAGCCAGAACAGCTTGGGGGAAAAAAAAATGCAATCTGCACCTTAAGCACTCCCTCAGATCTGCAGGTTAAGTAATTTTATTTAGCTACCATCATAAATATAAATGTTATAACAAAAGTTGACATTAAAAAGAAATCAGTTTCTTGGTCAAAGTGTACCTAATTTTAAAAAGAGACACTAAAAGGTGTGAAAGAACCCTTTGTTTATTGTTACTGGCTATGAAGTTATTCAAAGTTTTAAGACAAAACATATACCATGGCAAAAACTTCATTAAGTTATTCCAAGGAATGTTGACACATGGTGAAAGATTTTGCGAAGTTATTCTTAAAGAGACAGATAGAAAAAAAGTGGTCACCCAAGGCAAGCAGATATTTGGGACCAAATGGGAAAAAAGAAGCTGGCTGTCTCTTTGGAGTAGAGAAGAATCACAGTGGCCCCAACAAATCCACTGCTTTATAAGACGGGAAAGTAAGGGAGCAGACCCATCCAAGCTATTTGTGACTGAAGAGAGGGAGAAACCAAAAAAAGGGATAGCAGGCCCTAAGCCACTGCTCCTCTAGTAGTAAGGGAGTGTAAGCAAAAAGCAGAGGGCCCAGGTTCAAGAGAAGGGCAGTAGAGGTGGGAGCAACAATAAGAAGGCAGGACACTACTGATTTAATGTGCAGGTAGCAGCAATAACTGGTCACATGAAACTGATTATATAAAACTATTTATTTGGTGGAATGCAGTTGTGGTACGTAATTTAAATAGGTGTGGTGGTGCAGGTATTTTTCCACACAGGCTAGAAGGATCAGTCTTCAGGCATGTAGGTACCAAGGAAGTTTTCAAGCTCTGAGTTTTGTTGTGTTTTTTTAAACTCAGAACTTTCTTCCCTTTCAAGAGTGTGAGTACTTAGGATCCAGTCCTGCAACCTTTCACTGCAAAGTGAAGCCTGTGCAAGTAACGAGGCTAATCACTTGAGTGAAAGTTATGGAACTGAGCCCTAAAACAGAATTTTTATTTAAAACTTCATTTGTTCCTGATGCTTATTCCTCACCTGACAAGTGGTTGCTGTGAAAGTGATTATGTCATCACAAAGGAAGGATTAGTGACTTCAGGTGAGGAAAATAGGATTTCATCTTCTCCTGCTGCACAAGACACAAAAGATTGTTTTTCATGCAGCAGTCCCTAGTAGTTGAGGAGAAAGAGGGATATAAATATTTTCTAAAATAGTGTTGTTCTTGATCATCAATAAAAAAATTGAAGAATGCAATTCAGCTTTGTTTTAAGTCTCCTCTAGCCTTTAGCTGTAAAAAGCAAACGATCTGGTTATCATGCTTCTGAATTCCTATAAGAGTATTTTAAATGAATGCCAGATTTTCATGCTAGTAGCAAACCACAAAGAACAGTTGTGTTGGCTGATAAAAATATTCTTCTCAGAGTCAAAAAAATGCACTTCAAACCACTGCATTTTTTCCAGTGCAGGAAATTATTTTAGATTAAGAAGTATATTTACACCTGAATATTTATCCAGAGCTTGATACCATGATGTCCTTTCTTCAGCGTTTAGATAAGTAACTGACCAGTAACATGAACCAATGTACTTTTTAATTTTACATATTTATTAAGATTTAAAACTCACTTTCAGATTAAAGTAATACATGACAAAAACAAAAGAATCATTAAAGATTACCTTTGATAAAAGATCACCACACTGAGTCTTAAGTGGTGAGATAACCAGACTATAATTAGGACGTTTCATATTAATGAATACTTTGCAATTCTTCTAATGCACACACACACTATTTCACATCTTAGTTTCAACCAGGACACATTAAAAAGTGCTCAAGGATATATTGAAGATGCTATTCCTGTCAATGTTCACTAATCCTTCCTCACTAGGAGCCCAAGCCTGCAGCCATGCAAGCATCACAACATTGGGCTCAGACCCAGCCCAAAGTGTTTGGAACCGGAGGACTCTGTTTAATCTTGTTTTTAAACTCACAGTTTTAGTGTGTTTGGGGGGGAGGGGGGGAGGGAGAGAGAATGACGTTACAACCCTGGTCCAGCACACTGCCAAAATCCCACCAAACGATTCCCAAATCAAAACCTTTAG